TTGAATTTTCTTCTTTTTAATATATTGTAATATCATAACCAAGTATTAATAATACATCTCACTCAATACACTACACACTTTTATTTAAATTAATAACTCCCTTGATATGGGAAAGGATTTTAGACACTCCTGTACATGTGGTGAAGAGAAGTAGGCTGGTGCATACAACCCGATGTGTAATAATGTTGAGTGCATTTCATGTACTTTTACAGTATTGGTGCTTGTTCTTGCATGCATTTGTGCTACGCAGCAAGCCGTGGGTGATTCGCCGCAGTTATCACCCCCGATTGACATAGATCGATAATGGCGCAATGTTGGCTCTATGGGCGTACGCGCGTTGCTCTGTCATTACTGTGTTTTTCAGGCCACTCCTAACACAGTGGGTGCTCCCAAAGCTCGGGGCGCTGCGAGGCAATGACACGCGGCCGCGCAGCGGCGCAAGGACCAGGAGGAACAATGGTTATTTAAAAAAAGATCACAAAAAATAAAGCCACAGTGCATGACAGGAGAGTGAGGGTGGAGATGGCGCCTCGCTGCGGCACTCCTAAGCATATCCAACCACACGCACTGGCCCTTCTAGCCCAATACAGACTTCGCCCTGAAAAAGTTCGCGGCGGCCCAACGAAATGGGCACGAAGCCGGCTTGGGCGGCCCTTCCCCTAGAAAATAAAAGATTTTGAAGGTCTTACTGCGTAGATCTTTCTGGTACACTTCTCAAACTCGAATTATAAGATAACCACCACAATTTATACTTCGTGACACATTTCAATTTTAATGTGTCTTTCATTTCAACTTGTTCTGGTTTGTTCCTGTGTGTCTTGCTCGCTTGCATGCCCTGCATACGCCTATAAGCAAATACTTAAGACTTGTTGGTCAAGACATCTTCACTCTTGATGAAGGCAAATGCCCCTGCCCACAGACAGGTAAAAAGTAGAAAACCATTCACAGCAGGGTCAAGGCCGAAACAAACATTATTTCACTATTTATGGCCCCTGTTAAAAATGTGTCCTTAATTTAGTCTACCTGTAAGTTGGTCGAATGAATGCTCCTCATCTGGAAGCGCTGACCGAGCAGGCAGTCAGACGGCTACCGAGCGCATCCGCCAAGCCACCACAAAAAGGCGACGTCAGAGTTCCCGTTAGCCGGCAAAATCTAAATCTCTTTGGTCCCAAAATAATTTTCCATTTAGCCCGCAATACCGCTTCAGCGTTGCGCCACTTATGTGACGAGACAAGAAGCAGTATGTTGACAGACAAGAATAGTAATTCTAATGCTATACACTTAATGTGGAGAAAGGAGACTGGGCCTGTATGGGGTTGAGTTGTGCGTTGATCTGTTGGTAATGCCTCGGGGTTCCGTGGGCATGTAACAAATGCATAATGCTCGCGCTAACTCTTGTGCTCTTTCACCCAGTTGATAGCGACCACTTATCTGTTTTACGTGTTCTTTTAATAAGCATGTAGCTAGAACTACTGGATCTGATCGGATATGGACAGTAAACGCGAGTGAAGTCTAAATCCTGACGGGAGAGAAGAGATTAGCTGCTGGCTTAGAGTCGAGACGCAGCGGCTGCATGGATCACATGCAGCGGTGAAGCGGACAAGACACACACTTCAGGTTAGAATATCACCGTACTAGTTTAATACCTCTCAACTACCGAACTACGTTACCCCCGATATGCTCTAGTTTCACTGTGCGCCCGCACCATCTCCCGCGGATCGCCGCACCACACACTGGGCATAATTCCACTACCCTGCCCGACTCCGCCGCACCAGCGGCGTGAGGCTCATTGCCCCGCAGAGCTAACCTACGTGGCCGCGGCATCGGGCGAGCCCTTATGTCGAGCCCTGTAACACACACCTTCCAAAAATTATTGATCGAGAAATGATACATATATCACGTCGGGTCTCCTGTGTCATTAAAGCTCGGCTCTGTGTTGTGTTGAACGAGCCATTTTGTGTGCGTGCACGTCAAGACCAGCACACGAACGAGAGCGCACCCGCGATACCAAAGAGGTCGTAGTCTGTTTAGCCTTCTGGTGCCGCGACTCTCACGCTACCCGGACATAAAGAGTTTTTCAACAAAACAAAGTGAGGGAGGATCCTCCCTGTCAGACTGAGAGGCTCAGTGAGCAACAAGGACTCCTCTCAGTGTTTTAGATAGTTTACACTTTGGCCGTATACGCCCCGCGGACCATTGGTAACCCGGCCCTCGACGGTAATCTACAGCGCTCACAAACAACGCAACAAACACCCCCCCAAAAAACATTTACCCAAGCAATCAGACGCAAAAAATTAAACAAGCAATCGCCCTTTTTTTCGTGGCTACGGTCAGGGTCTTTGAACACAGCGAACAAGAGCTAACGGGGCACCGTGGTTACGGTCTCGGTACAGAAGTGTTTGTCTTGTACGCTTGGTGGTGGGCGTATCTGAAGCTTGGGATTTTTTTGCGAGCAACCGCACAACAACAAATCACATGACACCTCCGCCCCGACATAGCAAAGCCAACCGTAGCCAGCTGTTAAAACGAAGTAAAAATGGACTATTAAAATGCCCAAACAGGGCGAAAAACTTACCAGTCACCCACTGGTCCTCTGCGCACCGTCTCCATGCCTGGCTGCCTCCGGTTGTATCCGGTAGATGAACCAGAGAGCTGATCATACAGCAGCCGGGGTGACTTCATTACGGTATAATCGAATTTTTTCCCTCAATTGTTTGGAACATGAGGAAATGCACCTGCGGAGTCCTTCGCCAGCATACCGGGCGGTTTGATTGGCTAGCCGTTGTACTTGTGCCAGTGCAGATTGTGCATTACAACGG